AGCAGTGAAGCGAGCCAACCCGACCACAATCCAGCACTGCAGACCCATGGCTGCCATATTTGTCATTTACAACGTATACTCCAAGTTGCTCCTAACATTGGCAGGCCCAGCGTCGGTTACATTGAAAGCGCCACAATTCGCATTCCGGGCCTGCTACTCTGCACACGAGCCGGTGTTCATCTTGAGGAATACCATCGAGAACGCAATCGAGTGGCAGGTGCACGTTTTCATTCTTCGACGGGGATATCCACAAGGCGTGCGACTGCACACGACATCAGACTTGTATCACAGGACTGACACAAAAGAAGGCTCCTGGTATATAGATTGCTGGATGGATCCAGGAAGTTCGCCGCACCAGGACGGTATTTGAGCCCAGCCCGTCCTTGCAAGCAGGGCCGATCGCCAGAAGCAGGTCACTGTTGCAAGGAGACCCACCTGCCCCAGCAATATCACATGCAGCTTTGGACGTGCCGGCGGAAATCTTCGTTGAGTAGTATCGCGAACGGAAGTGCGGAATTTAGCTACATGGTGTCAACTGAGTACCTGTCCTCCTGCACGCCGACAACTGTTGTAGCTTCGTCACGTCGCTTGGCATGCTGTCGATCATGACAGAAAAATGGTTGACTCTTATATCAGAGCACGGGTGATTAGCGCCGCTCCAAGAAACAATTTGTTCCACAACCGCCAAGGATACCCAACATTATCGAGTTCACGATCACGGCCAGGACATATCCAGAGCCTCACGGAATGTTGGTTTCAAGTCGCTGGGTGCCCAGATCACCTAATTTTTTCCCCGTGGATGTCTCCATGCGCATCGAGAAAGTTCGGCGTTCTTTCTTCAAGCATAAACATCCTGTGCTGCCACAGAGGCCATTTGGCAAGAAGGCTACACTTGCCGCAGATACTGGTAGAGAGCGCTCTGTTCTGGTGTTCGGGAAGTTGGACTCTCACGCAAGCTCAGCAATCTCAGCTACGAGGCGCTCAACGCAAAATGTCGGGGCTCAAAAGATGGCCTGGCGAATTTCGCGGCAGCTTTTTCTCCAGGACAAAGAGGAGGGTGCGGATGGCTTTGTCCAGTACGAATATCGACAAGTGGGATGCCCACTACTTTCGCGCAGTATTCAAATGGGCCGGATATTTGCAGAGAGCCGGCAACAACGACCCGAGCAGATTGAGCTACCAGGTGATAAGGTGCAAACATTGGGCTTGGTTGCAGAAAATCATGGTTGCCCACAAGGGCATCCAACTGAACTGCCAGAAGTTCCGCACTGGGAGGTGGGAGACACAATTGCGCAAGCTGTTCGAGAATACCTGCGAGCCCTGGACGACGGTTGCCGCACCCAGCCGTCGATGGAGCAGCATATTGAACGATCGTGTCGCCGCAGTTGTTACGCATAGCTACGTCCACAAAGAAAAGTTTCAGACATCATGATGTACTGAGCTGAGGTAGGTGCAGGGTTCTCCCAGCGGTCGACAGACCGATCGAGCCGCATTGGTCATTGGCCATTGGAGGAGGACGAGGAGGAGGCGGAGGAGGAGGAGGAGGAGGAGGAGGAGGAAAAGTGTGATGATGATGAGGAGGAGGAAGATGTTTTGGAGGAGGAGGGGGAGGAAGAGGAGGAGGAGGAGGAGGAGGAGAGGAGGAGGAGGAGGAGGAAGAGGAGGAGGAGAAGGAGGAGGAGGAGGAGGGGGGAGAGGAGGAGGAGGAGAAGAAGAGGGATAATCGTTAGGAGAAGGACGAGGGAGGGGGAGGGGGAGGGAGAGGAGGAGGAGGAGGAGGAGCAGGAGGAGGAGGAGGAGGAGGCGGAGGACCAGTGTAAAGCCAAGACTCATCAACGATGTTGGAATAGACCCTCTCTCTAAGCTCCCTCTTCATAGACCGCTACACGTGTGCATTTCCACTGAAGGAACTGCTTCGCTGGGAGACAACTGATGCCCAAACATGACCCTCGGGACCCCAACTCCACGGATCAACCTGACTGTTGCGTGTTGGCGATTCCTGAACTGTGCCAGAACACCATTCCTCGGACTTCACCCTCACAATCCTGAGTTTCTCTAGAACGCTACTTCTGGTACGCTGACCATGGAAATGTTTCTAGCTCCTGCAATGTTTCAAACGCTCGTGCGCGGCGTAAAGGCGAGAGCCACATTTTGAAAACGAGCCGCCTTCAATCCGTGAAGCCCTTGATTTTTTTAAGACGAGTGTGGGCGGCGTTATGGCGAGAGTCACGTTATGAAAACGGGCCGCATTCGGTCAACCGTTTGATTGCATTATCTTGAAAAACGAATGTGCGCGGCGCTACGGCGAGAGCCACATTTTTGAAAACTGCCCGCCCTCAATACATGAAGCTTCTTCCAAACTATGAAGCTGATACGCGCGGCGTTAAGGTGATATCCACATTTAGAAAACCACCCGCCCTCAATCCTCGAAGTTATTCATTGTTTTTGGAGAAGAATGCACCCGGTGCTAAAGAGACAGCCACATGTTGCAAAACAGCCC